CGACAAGCCGAGGACCGGATCGTCTCGTTGCCGGGCCAGCCGGAGGTGAGCTTTGCTCAATTCTCAGGCTATGTTACGGTGAACAAGAAGCACGGGAGGGCTCTTTTCTACTGGCTCACTGAGGCGACTTCTCACTCCAACAGAAAACCCTTGGTTCTTTGGCTCAATGGAGGTCAGCCCCTCAATTTCTCTCCTTTTTCCTTGTTAGTTTAATGCTCTTAATTAATCTTGCTAATCCCATCATTGTGTTTAGTTTTCAATCATACTAGTACATAGAGAAAAGTGGTCAAGATAGGTATCAGATAGGGGAAGATTAAAAAGCTAGATGTATAGGAGATGATCATTACGGTTTTAAGCTAGCTAGGCTGATCCTTTTTTTGTTTTCCCTTTCATTTTGCTATGCTAATTTTTTTTATTTTTATTTTTTTATCTTTTAAAATTTTGTCTTTGGAAATGACATGTTTCTCGCATTTATGATCGATGTACATATCTTGCTCAATCTTTTCCTTAGCTCGTCCGGTTTTTCTGAGTTTTAGGGGAAATGATTCCAAAATGATGAGCATTCGAGCGAGTTGTTTGTTGGTGTGTACAGCAACTGGCATAATTAATGCACGCAAGGAAACGCTTTATGGCCATTTATTACATCGACCTGTCCACGTGTCGTCTGACTTGGCTGCCTACGTAGCCCTGTTGAAGCCTATAGGATGAGGGCTAATAAACTAATTAAACCCTATAAAGTTTTTTAAGTAAAATACGCCCTAAAGTTTACTTTGAAATGAGCACCGGTTCGTTCAATTCCTTCACAAAGGGTGGACATAATTATAGGTCAAACCTACTGTTAGAACGAGCTAATTTGTTAAATTAACTAACCCAAAAAGGCCAATAAAAAGGTGAAGAAAGCTTTTCTAATCTGCCAACAAAAGTAGCATTTTCAAGGATCTACCTTTGGATCTCTCTCTCTCTCTCTCTCTCTCTCAAGATCACTCATCTGTTTACAAGAACACAACCGAATCTTTGCTCACACTCTTGCTCAATTATTGAGACCTTGACCAAATTAATTTCCACAAATTAACCGTATTAACGTCTGGTTTAATTAAAAACTACATCTCAGGAGAGTAGATGCGCACATCATAATCATAGCCATGAGTGAAGTACACATGCTAATAATGTTGCGGTGCAGCCAATCATACTCGCTCATGCAACTGGCTATTATAGACTGACGAGTAAAGAGGACAAGAACGTAATATTTGAAATTAAGTGTATATGTATCTATCTATCTACAACAGAATGCTCGCTTTTTGGTTGAAGTACTTACCGCAAATAAAGCTTATGTTTTTTGGTTCATGTGACTGGCAAGTGCAGTCTATTATTCCCCTGCTTATAAAGGGATCATAAAGCTGAGCTCGGTTTGTTTTTACTCTTTTTAAAAAACTTTGGTTTATTTATTCTATTTGTTTCTACTGCTGTCATCATTGTGATCACTAACAAACAAACGCGAGAGGTCCTCACAAGGGCAAGCGGCCCTTTTTTTTTTTCTTGCCTCCTCCTTTGTTTTCCTCACTTTTTCTCTTGCTATTATTTACTTTTTTTTTTAATTTTTAAATTTTTTTTTACTGCTGGGGTGGGGACTGTAGAGGAATTGAGTGTTGTCCATTGCCGTGTTTCTTGTTTTGACTTGCGAGCACGCTTATGCTGCGGGGGCATGAGCTTGGTGATCTCTGTCCCCTCTCAGCCCTTCACCTAATAATGGAATAAGGATTGCTTTTAATTTAGGTGAATTTCACAAAAAACCCCTCTGAACTTTGGGGGTATTATTGCAGAATCCCTGGTTTTTTTATTTATTTTTTATTCTCAAAAGGTCTCCTGAGCTTTGGTGAGACTTTCTAGCTATTTGCCAACTATACGTAAAGATCCGAGAAAAGTTTAAAGTTGAGAAGATTTGGTGACGAGACGCCCCAAATTTTGGGGTCTTGAGAATTAAACTTTCACCTTTCTCTTTAGGAAAAGGGGAAGGTGTGGGGTTTTTTTTTTTGAGAGAGAGAAAGTAGGGGTATTATAGTCTTTAATTGTGTAAAATTCTTGGGCTTTGTGTTTTGTGGGCTCAGAAAACAAAAAGTTTATTTTCGGGGGTAAAGCACCCGTTGAAAAAATCTTGGGGGTGGGAAGCACGTTTTCTTTGGTTTTGAGGGCTAGAAGCATTTTTCCCAAAGATTTTTCAACAGGATCAGGGAATGGTAATATAGAATATGGGCTAAATGGCACTTAAATACCTTCTACTTTACATGACTTAGTACTTATATATTATCTGTTTTATTTTGACATTAATTTAATTAGCTTATTTTTTTTAAAATAGCACTATATTTTTATTCCGTAAGTTAAATATTGAAATACTTTCCCAAAAAAAAATTCATGCTGCTTCTACCTTGTAAAAATTTGGCTGGATCAACTAAAAAAGTGGGAATAAACTTCGAGACAAACTCTATAAGTGGGAGTAATAGGATTTATACATGTCTAGGACAGATTTCTCCCTCTATGCTTTGTAGACTGGAAATTTCTTCAAGATCGAGTCATTACTTTTTTATTTTAGGATTGTCATCTTAGGCGGATTAGCTTTCTCTATCCTGGATAGATAATCTGTCTAGGATATTATCCTAGACAAGTTTCCAAGGTAGAAGGAAATATCTTTCCAGATATTCTAAACATTTTTTTTTTCTAGATTGATTGATTCTTTGTTGGATGTTCATTCTAGACAGATTTGAAAGCGTCTTAGGTAGATTTTTCGTCTAGAATTGTACGTTTTCTACTAGTGAATACTCTTCAACAGAGAAGTAGTTTCTAGTAATGCCACTCTTCAACAAATTAAGAAGTAATTTGGCAGATAAATGATATTACGAAGAATAGAGGGGAAGAAAGAACCAGACAGGACAGAGGGAACGATCGATGCTTTAAAGAAAGGAAGAACGTTAGGTAGATGAGACTTAGAAAAATAAAAGGATTGGACAAAGAGGTTTCTAGAGTAAACGTGAGAGAGATAGGGCTAGAAGAAGGGAGAGCTACATATATAAAGTGTTTCAAATAAGGGTTTTTCTCATTGATCGTCGTTGTTTAGGGGCTGTTTGGTTGGAAAAAAAATAAGGAGTTCTGTTACAGCAAACTTATTTCCTATAATATCATTTTTTCACTTGTTTGGTTCGCAGTGATGAGATGAAATGGATTGTCACCACGTTATTGGATGATGTGACATATTTTAGGGAAACTCGTTTCATGGGTTTTTTGAGGAAATAGGTGGAAATCAACTTTGATAATTTCTTTCCCCTATTTTCTTTTTTTTTATTCTAGAAAACACATTAATTTGTTTCAAAAAAGAAAGTATGGATACTCAAAATGTCAGAATACTAGAAGCTTACGCGCCCATTTGTAAGTTACCCTATTCTAAGAAAGATGCCCTTCCTTCTTCCATGGATACAAAAAAAAAACATCACATTTTCTTTACCTATTTCTATCTAGCCTTGAAACGAACAAGCTTGGCAGTTCAAGATGCCAATTTCTTCATTGACACAACCACTTACTTCATAACTATATAGCTTGCTTTTAGGTGCATTCACATTCATCATGAAATTAAAAGTAGAAAGCACTTGTTGTCCAGTTTAGCAAGCCAAGTTGGCAATCATTCAGATCCACCAGATCAAGGCTCACATGACATGAACCAGTCCCCTCTGAAACCAAATCCACAAATCAAAGTTTGACAAATTAAGTCCTATAAGACCTCTGTGGCGCCGTATCAAAATAAATCCTATAAAGAATACTTTAGTACCATGTCAAAGCACCGTGTCACGATACAATATCACCGAAATTTCGGTAAGAATTGAGCGTTATGCTTGTGAGAATTATACTTCTATATTCTACGAAGCACAATCAAAGTACTATATTAGTGCAATTAGGCTACCGTGTTATATAAATCCAAAATTATTATATCGGTTTAATCATCAACTTTAAAATCTGTACAGACATTCTAATCTCATCATCTTTCTATATGATTTTGTAAAGAGGGCCCTATATTGGATTCTTTTCCCTGCATCTCCCCCTGATCAGGACCACTTGTGAGAGAGAGAGAGAGAGAGAGAGAGAGAGAGAGAGAGAGAGAGAGAGAGAGAGAGAGA